TTATAATTTTGTTCAGTGTATATATATATATATATATATATATATATGTGTGTGTGTATGCATGTTAGGCTATTTTATTTTCTTATTAAATGGATCTGTTATCTTTTGTATCAAATTCTTATATTTAATCAATAAACTAGAATAATAAGACACAATAGGGATACAGACGCTGACCCTGACACAGACACAGACGCTGCATCGGAAGTGGCGTTTAGTCTTATTTAAGCAGACTGTAAAATAATCATAACTGCTTTAACAAGCCCAGACAAAGGACCGCTGTTAATCTATATTCTAGTCGATGTGATAGCGAAAGCTGTTTGCTGTTTAACCTGTTTAACTTGCTATGACATAGCAAGTTTTATTAATCCCTGCATTGCTGTATTTAATTCTCTATTCAGTATATGTGTATCTGTTTTCTAACAGTGTTTTCTAAGGTTACTACCATGTATGTTTGTACTTATGTGCATTTTCTTTTTTTTTTTTATAGAAAAACCACACACAAATGTATACACCCGACAAGTGTTAACAGTGTTGTAGTGAAAAATAAATGGGTTACTCCCAGATATAAGACACCTGTCGACTACATCTATCAACCAAGTCTCTTACCGGACACCCTGTGGTGGGTATCAAACCTAAACATGATTCACTGTAAGATGGAAACCTTTACGACTTTCAGAAAATGTGATAAATGTTAAAGGGATAGTTCACCCCCAAATTTTGTCATTAATTACTCACCCTCATGTCGTTCCAAACCCGTAAGATCTTCATTCATCTTCGGAACACAAATAAAGATATTTTTGATGAAATCCGAGAGCTTTCTGACCCTCCCATAGACAGCAACGCAACTGAAACGTTCCCTGGCTCAGGTATTACGAACATCATTACAATAGTCCATGTGACATCAGTGGTTCAACTGTAATTTTATGAAGCTACAAGATTACTTTTTGTGCGCAAAAAAAACAAAAATAATGCATTTTTTCAACAATTTCTTCTCTTCCATGTCGGTCTCCGACGCGCGTTCAGCAGAGTACGTGCTGGTACATTCATGTTGATATTTTGCATGTATGTTGATTTACTTTGATTTTGCTCTGCTGTATGACTGTGATGCTGGGAATCATTCAATCATTGCATCATCACGTTCTGATGGGAAATTTGACAGCATAATTCATCTTACAAAATTACTTGGGCTTTATTCGAGATTATCAGAAGTAGCCTACATTTATGGCAGGTATGGTAACTAGCTGACAACTGTTAAAAATTCAGCTCCCAAACCAAGCTGATAAAATAAACGATCAGCTGGAAAAAAAGAAACCGCTTCAGTAAATAAATCCAGCTTCAAGCATCAGCTGGTTTTGAGTGCTCTGACCAGTTCTACCAGATTACCTCTTAACAAAAACAGCTTGAGCTGGTCATGCTGGACTTTCCAGAGAGGCGAGGGGTGTCAATGTTTATATAGTAAAACAAAAACATCTTGGACAGAGACACACACACACACACACACACACACGTTGGTGGTTTACAGGAA